TTGATTTTAATGAGTTGTAATAGATCCTGCATAGTAAATACCTTTTCTTTTTCCAAACCACTTTCCGGAAAGAAAACAGAAAGTGAATATTCATAGCCACATCTTTGTAAGTGATCTGCCACTAGAGAGTTAGAGGCACCTATTAAGAGGGCGCTCCCTTCCACTGAAAGGGACTGAGGTTGTAGTTCTCCACACAATGCAGGGTGCATCAATTCATGTATCAGCTGCTTTCTGAGCTGGGTCTTGAGAGCATCCAGTATACCCCGATCCTTAAACGTCTGGTACAGCTTTTTGCGCAGTTCATCCCTAGTCAACACATCAAAGTCGAGGGGCATGATGGATCCGAACTAGGAACTCTGGCAGAGGCGCGCACTTCCTTTCTCCGCGGTTCTGAAGGGAGGACGGGGTTGTGACCCAGGCGCGACTCTCGATGGCGGAAGGTGGTGGAAGGTTGAATTCAGGCTTTTAAAAAAACATATCCTTTTACAATTTCAAAAAGCATAAATTATCTAAACTTTTGCTATTTGATGGTTATATACTTACCTCTGGATAATCAGTTTTATACCAGCAAGAGTCCTACCCCGTTTAAAAAAAGAAAGAAAGAAAATTTAGGCCTAATAAGCCACATATAGAATAAATAAAATCATTATTACCATGTTAATATTAAGAGAATTTAGTTCCTACTTTCAAACCTATAATTTTCTCAATACAGACATCTCTCCAGTCTTTTTTTTTTTATGTAGACTCTTCTGTTGCTAGAATGAAAGGCTGAAGCTTTAGAGACTGTGCAGATTCAGAAATAGAAGAAAAGAAATTGAAAAAATACAGTTTTAGGAGCTGAGCCTGCGAGTCCCAACGCGGCTGACTTTCTTATGAGGAACACCCCCTTTTCCAAATCTTTACCCTAAATTCTTTAACTTCACCTGATTATTCAAATGTTAACACTTTATATAGGTCTTGTCCTGTACCCAGGAGAGTGTGAAATGGGGTAGGGCTGGAGGGACAGTAGACCCTGCTTTCCCACTCTTGGCCAGCAGGTCACTTGATGATTGTGAGCACGCAGGCCAAGTAGCAAGATGCTAAGACTTGATTAATTATTGCATTTAAGATCACTCCAGTCAAAAAAATTGAAACTATAAAAGTACTATGGTAATTTGCTTAGGTATATGACCAAATACTCAAGTGAACTACCCAAATTTGGCTAAATTACATTTATGTGATAAAGGTGTGCATTCATCAAAACAAACTCATGTTTACATGATAAACATTGAAACCATGCATCAACGGAAATGTCAGTGTCAAAATAAGATGGATCTCAGCAATGAAGAACAATAGGTGATCCTGTATTACGTCAGGATTCGTATCAAAGACAATACAAAAGCAGCTGAAAGAAATGCAACATTACAGGGCTGGCCCATGGCTCACTTGGGAGAGTGTGATGCTGATAACACCAAGGCCACGGGTTTGGATCCCTACATAGGGATGGCCGGTTAGCTCACTTGGGAGAACATGGTGCTGACAACACCAAGTCAAGGGTTAAGATTCCATTACCAGTCATCTTTTAAAAAATAAAAAAGAAATGCAACATTAGTCTCAAATCGCCTATGTGCTTTCTTGCTCCATTTCAGTCCAGCCAAGAAGACCACCATCCATTTCTCTAAATCTTTGCTGTCAACTTTTTTTTAAAAAGTGTACTGGTGTATGAATGGTCTTTTATAGTCTATTCTGTAACAGAAAGATTGCTGGACTTGCATGTTTAAAGACCTATATTTACAGTAGTATAGTTATTTGAATTTTTCCACTAATTGAATGGACAAGGAGATTTCCAAAGTCCTATCCTGCTCTGAATGCTAATGAGTCATTCACATCTTTAATTAGTATTTGCATAGCAGCCTGAGTTTCCAGGACCCAAGACCTCAAATTAATAATATAAATACTGCAATTCAGCACAATTTGAAATTAAAAATGCTTTTCTGAGCAAGTCAGCAACATAGTCACCACTTACAACACTGTATCTATTCAAAAACATGTTCTGAGGTCTAAATAAATGACAAAATAAATTGTTGGAATATAATTCTTTTCTAAATTGGAGACTGCCTGTTCTATCCTTGACAACCTCATGATTATACTTCATTTCAACATATTACATTACAACTAGATAAATATTTGGCTCATGTATTTTTATATTTTACATGAAAATTAAAACCTGCAGTAACTACTTATTGTGTTTCTGTTGAAGAGTTAACAAAAACTTAAAGTTAAAACACAACTCTTACCTCTCCATGTTTTTCAAAAAATTCACTTTTATGCCGATGCAATGTGTCAATAGCCTTAGTTAAGATCTGTGGTATTCTGTCTTTTATCGTAAGATATGCAAATGATCTAAGAAAAGAGAGTCACATACAATATATTACTTAGCATTACACTAAAAGACTGGCCATCTTTTAGTTTCCAGAACACCTCATTTAAAATTCCTTTTCATGCAGCTACTAAAAGAGAAACCAGTATTGTCTAACTACTATATTAAGACATTAGAAAACTTGAAAACTTCTCTGGTATGTCATAAAAGTTAAATAGTCTTACTGCCTCTAATCCCAGATTCTCCCCAGAGAACGTTTTTAAATCATTCTTATCTTTCCCATTCTATTCCTTTTATTTTCTTGAATCAGAAACTAGTTTAAGAATGTGATAGGACAGAGAAAGGACTGGCCAAGAAATCAAACAGGCTCTTGTCCCAGGTCTACTACTAAATGACTTCACCTGCTTAGAAAGATGAGACAATGGATGTGAAACTTCCTTAAAGACTCTGTGCTTGAAGAACATAAAGAATTAAAGATATTTAAAAACCTGTTTCCTTCTCTTCCCTCTGTCTATATTCTCAGTCAATTTTAATTCTTTCCAAAGGTTTTACCACTGTTGTCTCTACCTGCATAATGAACTCCTTCCATCCTATTTGCCCCTAAACAAATTAAGACGTGCTCCTGTCTATTCTCCCAGCCAAAATAATTAGACTTTCTAGAAGTGTCAAAGAATGAAGAAAGCTGGAGATAAAGTTAAAAAGTTAAAGATAGTATTGATTTTTAGACATACAAAAAGTGAGATTTACGGGTTATCATTTCATATAATTAGATTTTTTAGGAAGTACATATGATTCAGTTTTTTCTAAAAACTGGTGCTGAAATTCTGTGCAGTTTATCAGGTGCTGAAATTCTGTGCAGTTTTTAAATACAGAGCACAGAGCTTGGCTGATCGGTCTTTACATGTACAGATCGCCATAGACACAGAAAACCAAAAAAGTTGACAAGATAGTTTTGAAAAGAATACCTTTGTCCAAATCATTTAACTTTAATTTGGTATCGTTAGACTTCCGAAAATACAATTATCTTATTCCAATTTGTAAATTATTGGGTTGTACCTTGAGTATTTTTCCAAAAGTTTTCCTCAAAGGATAGCTATAAAACTTCTAAGAAAAAAATTGCAAAAACAAACACGTCCTGACTCTGGGTGCTTTGAGTATCCTAAAATATGCATAGTAACTACTCTGATCATTTTTTTTTTTTTTTTTTTTTGGCGGCTGGCCGGTAAGGGTATCTGAACCCTTGACCTTGGTGTTACAAGGTGGCCCTCTAACCAACTGAGCAACCGTCCAGCCCACTGATCAGAATATTTTTTAAAAATCACTAATACCTTGGAGGGAGGGAACACTAACTTAAATCAATTGATTCTTTTATTTTCCAAGGCAGCTGATACAAAACCAAGTGACAGTCCTTTGACATTTTACTTTAACTGGTAAGTATTACTTTTTTTCTAACATTTTTCTACTTTTCCTCAGACTGAGGCCTGCGCCTCTGCAGTAAGGTGCCCGGTAAGGACTAGGGTGAGCCAGAGGCGCCTGTGCCGCACAACTTGAGGAGGCACTCACCCCCTACATCTGCATGACCCTGACAGTGACCGCCTGCTTAGATTTTAGCCCCTTGGCGCCTCTCTGGTCTCAATCTACTTCCTGCCCAACTCGTGTCAATTTTCCTGTAACTGTTCTCCTCTTCTGCAATATTTTGAAGTGCCCATTTCAAATACAAACTTGACCTTTCATTTATGTAAATGAATGTAATATTATCTTTACAGTCTCCCACAACTTTACCCAGAATCTGCAGCGTGGCGCCTCAAAAGCAAAAAACTACTGACACTTTGCATTGTGAGATCATGATTTGATCAGCATGAGGGAGAAACACCTTTCTCAATAGACCTGAGATCCCCAACTTTTACAAAAAAAATTGAACCCCCCAAAGGCGCGCTTATGAAAGTGAATAAGAAGTGACCGCAAGGAAGAGACTGCAAAGCTGATCCAAGTCCTGAGCCGCAGCGAGCAGACTCCCTCCCCTGGGGCCGCCTCGCTGTCGCCTCCAAACCCGAGAAGGCGCCCCTGGGAAGCGGAGACAGACGGCGGGACTTGAACTCGCAGCCGCGCACGGAGCGGGCACCTTGTTACCGTTTCCCACCTAGACCCTCTGTCCGCAAAAAGTGGGGAGGAGAAAAGCGAGACAAACCCTACGTCCTGTCCCGAGAGAGACGCCGGAGGGTCCGCCATCACGTTCCAACTGTCGGGTGTCACCGGCCGCAGGAACAGAGGTGGTGCCGCCGCGAAGGAGGAGCTGGGGAAGGGAGCGCTGTGGTTTTTAAAAAAGTGCTTTTGAATGAAGAAACTTTATTTGGTGCCCGTACAAGCGGCAAACAACGGCTGGCTGGAAGCCGCGGAGATCTTCCGGGGACGAGGGCGGGGACAGCGGAGGCCGACTAGAGGGAGCGGATCAGGAAGCGGGCGCAGGCGGAAGCAGGCAAGGACCGGGAGGTCCCAGGAACCAAGGAGCGGAAGAGGCCGCCCTGGCGGGGTCACATGCTCGGGCGGTCACGTGGCCCGGCGGCTCGCGCTCCGCCGGCCCGGAGTTGTGTGCGCCTGCGCAGTATTGGGCGGCGGGAGGGAGCACCTCTCCCAGGGAAGGGTTTGCTGCGGGGATCCGGAGGCTGCTCCCGCGACGTTTTCTCTTCCCCTGTAGTCCTGCAGCGGAAGCTTGGCCCTTGACGTTTCCTTCTCCTCCGGAGGAGAGGTTAGTGCACTGCTTTTCCCTAGCAGCTTGTGTGGTCCTGCACCGCCTCCGCCTTCGCTCCCGGCCGCCGGAAACCTCTCGCGTCACCGGTTTCACCAGGACCGCTGTGACCTCCTGCCTCTGACAGTGATCTTTGGACGAATTAGCTGGGAGTTAAAAGCACTCAGTCAGTAAACACTCATTAGCCTTTTTGGAGCCAGCGCGTAGTGGTAACCGCAAAAATCAATGAAATCATCGTGAGCTTAAGGAATTGGAAGGCGTGCTTCCAAAGATTAGCTCCACTTTTCCATTGAATTGTAGTCTAGCTGTAACCGTTTTCTTAATTGATATTATTCTTAAAAAGTTGAAATGTGCCCAGGATCTAAGTAGCTGCCTTGTATTTCACTTCAAAAATATCAGTTGAATGATTACCTACTATGTGCTGTGCACTGTTGTCACAGGAGCGTGAACAAAACGCAGAAATCGCTATCCTCAAGGATCTTACTGGAACATTCTTGTCAGCATACAGCTATGCTGTGATTTCTTCCATCGTGAAAACAATTCTCCCCTGATCCCATTTTTCTTTCCATGCACATTTCTTTTCTGAGCTCCTTTCCAATAAAATTCCTCTGCAAGGGATTTTATTCAGTCTAAGAGCGTCTGGAGAGAAAAATCTCCCATCCTTTCCTCTTTTATTTTTTTCCTTAAGCATTGTCATTATCTAATATATTTTACTGGTTTACCACGTTTATTGTCAGTGACCTAATGTAAGATTCAGAAGATAGGAATTTTTGTCTAATTTATAGCTGTATTATCAGTAACTAGGACAATGCCTGGCACGTGGTAAGAACTCAGTGTTTGTTGTATAAATTAAACTAAGGGGGCTGGCCTGGTTAGCTTAGTTGGTTAGAGTACAGCCATATATCACCAAGGTCACAGGTTCAGATCGCTATACTGGCCAGCGACCAAAACAGTAATAATAATAATAATCTAAAAATTCAAGGTGTGCACATGATGTTAATTAAATGCAATGAAGAAATATGAAGTGGAGGAAGACAGATAATAGATAAGTGCTGGTTGTGTGTTTTAAATGAAGTGGTTGGAGGAGGCTACACTGGGTAGGACACATTTAAGCAAAGAGCTGAAGGAGGTAACAGAGTGAGAGTTATAGGTCCCTGTGAGAGGAGCATAAGGAACAGCAACTGCAAAGATCCGGAGGCCAGAGTGATGAGCAAAACAAGCAAGTGAGACAGCTGTAGGAAATATTAGAGTGGTGAGAAAGGGCCAGAGAATATAGGGCCCTGCAGGCCATTTTAAGGGCTTTGGCTTTTCTTGTAAGTGAAATGCGAGGCCATAGTCCAATTTTGCACAGAGGAAACATGTAATCCAACTTAAAGTTTCAAAGGTTCACTTTGGTTGCTGTGTTGAGAAGAATCTGTAGGAGACCAAGAACAGAAGCAGGGAGTTAAGAGAAAAATTCATGGGAAACATAGCAGCTTAGACCAGGTGGTAACAGTATTGATGGTACGAACGGGGCCCAGGAAGGCCAGGTGGGATCTACTGAATGATTGGGTATGGGGAATGAAGAGTCAAGGTGGACTCCAGGTTTTAGGCTTTAGCAAAATAGAGGGACGTAATTGCTATTCGTGAGAGGGGAGGACTGTGGGAAGAATAGTTTTGTGAGATCTCAGAAACTTAGTTTTAAGCATGTTACATTTTTACTCTTACCGGAGTGGTTTAGAGACAAATACTTGATATTCATCAATGTATAGATGCTGCATAAAACCATGAGTTTGGGTGCGATCACCAAGAGCCTGATAGAGAAGAACAGTGGCCGAGAGACGGAGTCCTGGTGCGTTCTATTCTTGAGGGGATGAGAAACCAGCAAAAGAGACAGGAGGTGCAGTCAGTGAGGGAGGAGGAAAATGGCCAGTGTGATATCCTAGAAGCCAAGTGAAGAAGGTGCTTCAAGGAGGGTGGAGTGATTAACTACCAGATGTTGCTTGATAAGTCAGTTAAAATGAAGACTGAGAAATGACTACTGGATTTAGAAATGTGGAGGTCATTGTTGACCTTGATGAGCGAGGTTTGGTGAAGGGGTAGGGATGAAAGCCCTATTGTAGTGGGTTCGAAATTGGAGAAGAGGACTTGGAGAGAGTGAATAAAACTCTTTGTAGTGGAATTTTATTGGAAAAGAGCTGAGAGAAAAGGTGTAGTATGTGCAAGGGAAAATGGGATCAGGAGAGAAATTTGTTTTGTTTTTGTTTTTCAAAATGGGAGATATAGCATAGTTGTATGCTAATAGGAATGTTTCAGTAAAGAGGGGGAAATAATGACATGGAAGAGAGGGGAGAAGGGCTTAATTCCTTCTGTGGGCAGGGAGGGATGAGATTTAGTGTACAGATGGAGGACTTGGCTCTAGATAGGATCATCGACAATTCACCTGTTGTAGCGGAAGGGAAGGCAAAGTACATGAGGGGACTTCAAAAAGTACACGGAAAGGTTTGTATTTTAGTTTTTATTTTTCCATGAACCTTTCTAAGTACCTTGTGAGGGCACAGAAGCAGTAGGTAGACACGTAGATGATGGCATAATTCATCTTGTGGAAGTTCTCTTCTGATTGTTTCTAGTTTGTAAGTGAAATAGAAAGCGAGGTCATTACTGAGAATGAGAAAGGATCAAGAGGCTTGCAGATTTTTTTTTTTTTAAGATGACCGGTAAGGGACCGGCCTGTGGCTCAGTCGGGAGAGTGCGGTGCTGATAACACCAAGGCCACGGGTTCGGCTCCCATATAGGGATGGCCGGTTTGCTCACTGGGTGAGCGTGGTGCTGACAACACCAAGCCAAGGGTTGAGATCCCCTTACCGGTTATCTTTTCTTTTTTTTTTTTTTTAAAAATGGGAGCCGAACCCGTGGCCTTGGTGTTATCAGCACCGCACTCTCCCGACTGAGCCACGGGCCGGCCTGAGGCTTGCAGATTTGAGGAGAGAGTGGAAAGTGGAATATAGTGGAGAAATATAAGGTGGTTGAGCAGCATGAAAGGCCACCTGAATGAAGTGGTCATGATTTTAGAGTGAGATCAGGCGGCTAGGATGGTTCGTTGTCTCCAGCCACGTTCAGCTGCAGGAGTGCAGGCACAAATGAGGTGAATTATATTTAATTACGGTTGAAGTTATGTCGTTTGTGGTATGTAGAGAGAGATGCAAGGGATTCAAGATATATGAGGGAGAGAGATTGTAATGGTAGACCACGGAGTAATAACTGGTGAGGAGGAAGGGAAGTTTTGGGGAACGAGAAACAGGGAAAAGGTAGTTGGATCTTTGAATTGTAGGTCCTGTTGGGGTTGAAGAGTTGTTGGAATTGGGTAATGGAAGGAGTGAGCTGGTAAGATAGGAGATAGTATTTGGAGAGTAGAAGGTGTGAAGTTGAGAATATGAGGTTGCATTTATTGATAATGACAAGGTCTGGAGAGCACTGTCCAATAGAAATACAATGCAAGCCACAAATGTAATTTTAAGCTTTCTAGAAGCTGCATTGATGAAAGAAAAATAAGCAGATGAAATTAATTGTAATAATGTATTTTATTTAGCCCAGTATATCCAAAAATACTATTTCAACAAGTAATCAATATAAAAATTATTAATATATTTTATTTCTTTTGTTAAAATTAAGTCTCAATTTATACTAGTCACATTTCAAATAGCCGCACATGCCTACTGGCTACTATATAGGTCAGAGCATATGACCATGGGAGTAAGTGGCTGGTGGAGAAGGGAAAACAAGATCGCTCAGGAAACTCAGAGGCGAGGGTATTGAAAGAGTCATTCCCACCAATGATCTGCATGTATATAAAAAAAAATCAATTATAACAATGAGAATATAGAAGAGTATGTGAATTCAATGCCAAACGGTATGTAAAGCTGTTAGGGTCATTTAAAATCTAGTATACTTTTTAACCTTTAAATTTAACTTGTACAATTAAAATGTCACTTTCCTGAGATGTGTTCTGGTTTTTAGCAAAGCCTAAATTTTTTCTGTGTGTTGTACACCCTAAATGCTACACTTTGTGTCTCTCTATGCAAAGAGAGAAAACACACTTCTTGTCTGTCCCATGGCTTTTATGTTCTTTGTTATAGTACTTTATGTAGCTTCCATGTTAAGGAGGTTGTTAGAGTTTGGAGGTAAAGAATTTCGTCAAAGAGGAAGAATCCAGGTTTGCACAGATTTCTAAAACTTTTTATAATTAGGTTCTTCAAAACCCACTGATTCAACTGGTAGGGAATCATATTAATTAAAGATGAACTTCAATAGCTAATTGGACTAAAACAAAACAATACCAACTTCTGAAGATATTTTGAAAACAGCAGGTTCTGCCTCCTAAATTTCACTGTAATTCATCTTTGTCCTTATCCTTCCCCTGCCACCCCCCCCTCCTTTTTTTGGTAATTGGCCAATATAGGACTCAAACCCTGGACGCTGGAGTTATCAGCACCATGCTCTAACCAGCAGAGCTAACTTCCCGGGCCCTTATCCTTCTTAAGAGTATTTTCTTTAAAACTGGAAGAGCCTCAGTTTTAGTTATATTTCTGCAACTTGCTAGTTGAGCAATTAGCCTCTCTAAAGCTGTTTCCCATCCATAAAATGCCTGATCAGGTTATTGTGAGGTAAAGCAGAGTACTTGGTGTGTAGAAAGTGCTTAAAAATAATCTCTCTCAGTTCCTCCTTCACATCGTTACCAAAAATGTGTTTCTTAAACATACATTTGAACATGTAATTCTCATACGAGGTCTCTTAAAAAGTTCATGGGAAGGGCCGGCCTGTGGCTCACTCGGGAGAGTGCGGTGTTGATAACACCAGGGCCGTGGGTTCGGATCCCATATAGGGATGGCCGGTTCGCTCACTGGGTGAGTGTGGTGCTGACAACACCAAGTCAAGGGTTAAGATCCCCTTACCGGTCATCTTTTTTTTTTAAAAAAAAAAAAAGTTCATGGGAAGATTTGTATTATCTTTTAATTCCACTTTTTCCATGAACTTTTTGAAGTACCCTCATCTTTAAGCTCTGGCTTTCCCCTACCTATAAAAACCCTTCAGGATCACTTAGTAGATCTTTTAAGGAACTGGCCACTGGCTCTTTTTCAGTCTCTGTCTCTTGCACCTCACTCCTAAGTTACATGCTGTTTGTCAGATAAATAATACTTCGTACCTGGGACATTTGGTTTGCTGATCCCTCTCCCATTTCAAGACCCAGTTCAAATGTCACTTCTGTGAATATGCCACAGCCACTCCTAACCCCAGACACTCACTTCTCTGGACCCCTTAGCAACTTGTACATCACATTATTCCATTTCTTCGACTAGACTGTGAATTCTGGGATCATTGTTCATACTTTAGCACCTAACATGTCATTTTTTTAAAATAATTTTTATTGGTTACCTACTATATGTTTACCTTTATGAACTGATAATTTTGGGGGGGTTTTGGCAGCTGGCCAGTACGGGAATCCAAACCCGTGACCTTGGTGTTACCAGCACCACACTCTACCAACTGAGCTAACCAGCCAGCCCTGTATGCTTACTTGTAAAGTACATAAATTTTGTACTGCAGATAGGGGGAGGGATTATTTACATATAAAGTCTGTTTCCTTTGTTTGGAGTGTGTGTGATTGTATCTGACATGCCTCATTCCCACTCCCATGCCCAAACCCTCCACTTCACAAAGCAGCTTAAGTCTTTCTGGGAGCCCTTACTGACTCTTCATATACAGTGAAGTGAACTTCTTGTGTGTTTCCTCAGTGTCGTGTACTGTAGCTCAGCAGTAGGGTCTATTCCATGAAGAATGATGAGCAGTTGAAAATGCCTGCCTCTGATGGCAGGGACCCTGTCCTTTCATGGGTCCATCCCTGGCCTCAACTCATTGCTTATCTCATTGTAATGGCTGAATAAATTTTGAATAAAGGAATTTGTAAGTACAGATTTTTAAAGTTGTTGATATGTTAATGAAGTAAATGAAGATGTCCCATCACCCTATTTTTTCTTTTTTAATGTCCTGGTCATGTCATTAGCTTTATAATCTTGTAATCTTCCAGAAGTCCAAACGTTGACTAAAGGAAAAGTGGCAAAAACACATACATTAATTTTTTTTAACTTCATTCTTTTACTAAACTTAGGTTAAGATGTACCTGTTTTGCAATTTTTTAAATATAAGATGCCTATTACCTAGGGAAATATTACTTATGTAATTTTTTAAACATTAAAAACAAAAGTGAACTTTGGATTCTTTTTCTTTTAGCTTGGGATGTGGTAATGCCAGCCAGACTTTTCAGAGCCCTGACCAGATCTCACTATATTTTATCAAAAGCACATCAGTGCCGAAGATTTGTTCATCTAACATTAAAACCACCTAAGAAATTTGAAAATACAACATGCACCATCCTGACAACATGTCAGAACTTGGATTTGTTCTTTCCTGATTCAGCAGCTGGTGGTTTAAATAAATCTCAGATCCTGGAAATGAACCGAAAAACATCAAACACAAGCGTACTCTTTCTATTAAGTGCTGTGCATTGCCAAGCTGAAAAAGCACACCTTCCATCCATGAAATCCTTTGCTGCTCACAGGAAAGTGACCCACAAGCCAAATCTATTGGGTTCTAAGTGGTTTATAAAAATACTAAAGAGACATTACTCACCTATGTCAACTGAAATATTTGTTCCAAAACAAGACATTCCCCAAGTCAAGAGACCACTAAAAGCATCCAGGACCAGGCAGCCATCCAGGACCAACCTTCCAGTCCTGTCTGTGAACGAGGTAAGGTGGGTGTGGTTGGGAGTGTTCACAGCACTTGTGTTTAGTAATCAGCGCTCACCCTCTAAACTAGTGTGCACTGCACCACAGTTTCACTGCTAACATAAGACAACTGGCAACCAACTCAGAATTTCTTTCATCAGGGTCTTTGAAGCCTCACATATCCAAAGGAAATCAAACTCTTAGTTTTTTTTTTTAAGAATTAGTGGAACATATAAAGATAATATTTATAGGCAATAAAATATAACAACATAGTTTATGAGGAGATTAGTTATTGGCATAAGGAAACTTTGAAAAACGAGGGCTAATATTAAGTCCAATCTAAGAATGGAACTATAAAAAACAAAACAAAACAAAAAACCACCCATTTAAAAATCAAACTAGAAATTCAGATTTGAAAAAAATTGTAACTATGCAGACAAGTAAACATTCATTAGCCTATGGTAACTGTGCATGGGGTGGTGAGATGACATGGCGAGGTAGAATCAAAAAATAGCAAAAAGGTTTTTGCTTTTTTATCCTCTAAAGTCTAAAGGGAGTGTGTTTTATTCAGTATTAAGAGATTTCTGGTAATTTTTCAGCTGCAGTTTGCATTTCCCCTCTAAGTGATAAACTATTTAAGGATCGGTCAGGATCAAGCCTTCTGTATCTTGCTTAATACCTAAAATCATGCTTTATACTTAACAAATGTTTGTTAAATTGGAAAGGACTGAAAAGAGGCAGAGGAATCTTTAATATAGATAGTCATCAACATTAAAAATAGGAATGTACGTAGAGCACAGTGTTATAACACAAAGGTCAAGGGTTCTGATCCCCGTACTGGCCAGCAGCAAAAAAAAAAGAAATGTAGATATTTAAAATTTGATTAAGCATTCTGAATCTGTCAGAAAACAGGTTAGAATGTCTGTCTTCAGATCTTGATTATGAGAAGTAGACCCTGAGCATGTTTAATTTTGGCAGTGTTTTACTGTGCAGTTGACATCCTTTTAAAAGGAATACATGCCTTCATTACTAAATCCTCACATTATAAAGTTAGGAGTTAAGCAATGATTTTTACTTTAGATTCTAATTTGGTTTAAATTCTTGTATGATTTCCGTGAAGCCAGGATGTGAAGAATGGAAGGCTGTGCAGATTCTTCTCCCAGCCCTTCCTTCTCCTTAGAGTTTTGGGGGGTAGTATGGGAAATTCAGTATTTAAGCAACTGAGAGGACATTAAGTGCATCTGAATTCATGGCAGATCCAAAAAAGAGATCAAATCATTTTTTTCTTTTATTACATCTAGCAGCACAGTGCAACAAATTTCTTATGAAAAAGTTGATATGGTCAGAAAAGTTACCTGTTTTGTAGTTAACTGGTTGTGAACTATCAAAGAGGCTTTATTTCTTTGGGCTATCCTTGGACTTGAAAGCAATTTTCCTGAATGACATTTTTTATTTTTCTTTAGGATTTTTTTTTTTTTTCTGTTTCCTTCCAGGAAAGGATTAAAAACAGATTTTCAAAATTCAACACAGTTTTAAATGGGATAATAAAAGCATTCAAATTTAAGACAGAGCAAACAGTTAACATGAACGAGAAATAAATGTTATTAAGTACCTGGTATGAATAATCTAGATGAATATTTACTTCCGAGAAGCCTAATAATTAAGGGATGAAATCGTCCTGGGTTGTATATTTCTCGTTGTCTCAGGTGGGGGCCAGGGGTGTGTGTGGAGAAAAACATAAAAATATCTTAAGAGAAATACCTTTTTCCAGCACTGAAGTAAAGGAGTCATTTATTTCATGGTTTCTTTTATAGGAGACATATGTAACATAATAGACAATGACTTCAGTTGGACTTTTGCAAAAAACAGAAGCAATATGTTGTCTCTCTAAGAGCACAGGAAAATAATGGAAAATCATGTTTCTAAAGTGATCTGAGGTAATGTAGTTTTGGAATCTTATTGTCCGAGGATTTTATTTTTCATGAAGAAGTCTTGAGTCGTGATGTATTAGTCTGTTTCTTTTACTTATAACAAAATACTTGAAACTGGGTGGTTTAGAAAGAAAATGAAATGTATTGCTTACAGTTTCTGAGGCTGGGAAATCCAAAGTCCATCTGGTGGGGGCAACAGTGACCTAGGGGTCTCATATTGCAAGATGGTGGAAGTAGAGAGAGCAGACAGACACACTCTCCTCTCTCTCCTGTTAAAGCCATGAGAACCACACCCATGACCACTTTTTAATCCATTCATTATGGCATGGTCCTACAAACTAATCACCTCTTCAAGGCTCCACCTTTCAATTACAATAAAAGGATTTCCCACCCTCTTATCATAAATACATAAAACATAATACATAAAACTTGGGGGACAGAATTCAAGCTTCATCGAGTTTGGGGGGACAGTTCAATCCACTACATTCTACCCCTGGCTCCACAAAACTCCTGTCCTTTTCACATGCGGATACATTCATTTCATCCCCAAAGTCTTAACTCACTTCAACCCAAAAGTCCAAAGTCCCATCTGTGATGTCAAAGAAGTTATCTACTTCCAAGATACAATGGTAATACAATGGTAATTGTTCCCATTCAAAGAGGGAGAAATAGGCCAAAAGAAAGGAGTAACAGGTCCAGAACAAGTCCAAAAACCAGTGGGGCAGGCATTAAACCTCAAAGCTGGCAAATCATGTACCTTGACTCCATGTTCAATGTCCTTTGCATGCTACTGTGGGGGCTGGGTCCCAAAGTCCTTGAGCAGCTCTGCTCCTATGGCTTTCCTGGTCTCAGGCCACACTTCACCTCTCCCAGGTTGGTGTTCCACTCTGGTAACTCCACAGGTCTGGGAGTTCAATGGCTGTCCCACTGCCACAGCTCCACTAGGCATGGCGCAGATGGGGTTTCTCTGCTGCAACTCTGACCGCACATTTCCACTGGGTATTGCTCTAGCAAAGGCTCTTCACAGTGGTCACCCCTGCAACAAATCTCTTCCTGGATCCCCAGACTTTTCCATACATCGTTTGAAATCAGGGTGGAGGCTCCCAAGGCTCCACAGCTCTGGCATTCTGCCAGACTGAAGAGTTAACACCATGTGGATGCCACCAAGGCTTCTGGCTTGTATCTTCCAAAGTTGCAGGTCCAGCCACACCTGGGGCCAATTTAGCCACAGCTAGAGTAGCCAAAGCAGCTCGGAAGTGCTGGTGCTGGAAGCAGCTTCCCAAAGTGGCCTTCAGTGGCAAGCCCACGGAGAGCACCTCAGGCCTGTTCCTCAAGACCATTCTGTCTTGCTCAGACTTTGGGTCTGAAATGGAAGGGTTTGCCCCAGAGTCTTCTGCAATGCCTTCAGGGTCTTTTTCCCCTTCTCTTGATAATCCCATTCTTTTATACTAATGTTCTTAGCACCATTGCATCTTTCTTCTGAAAATGCTCTGCTTCCCTCTTAAATTCTGGCTTTATGTCATGCCTTTGCAGCTATAACACAGTGTAGGCTGTTACAAGTAGCCATGCAGCTTCCTTAATGCTCTGCTGCTTAGATTTCTTCTACCAAATACTCTGGTTCATGACTCTTAAGTTCCAACTTCCAAAAGTCGTAGGGCATGGACACAATGCAGCCAAGTTCCTTGCCAGTTCATAGCAAGGGTGACCGTTGCTCTGGTTTCCAATAAGTCCCTTCTCATTTACATCTGAGACCTCCTTAGAGTGGTCTTTATAGTCCATATTTCTATCAGCATTCTGTTCACTACCATTTAACTGGTCTCTAAAACATTCCAAACTTTCCCTGGTCTTTTTGTCGTCTTCTGAGTCCTCCAAACCACTCCAACCTTTGCCTAACACCCAAATCCAAAGCTGCTTTCACATTTTTAAGTATTTGTTATAAGCAACACCCCACTTTTCTGGTACCAATTTTCTGTATTAGTCTGTTTATGTTGCTTATAACAAAATACTTGAAACTTGGGTTTTTATAAAGAAAACAATATTTATTGTTTACAGTTTGTGAGGCTGGGAAGTCCAAAGTCCATCTAGTGGTACTGACAGTGACCTAGGGGTTTCACATCGCAAGATGTGGAAGCAGAGAGAGCAGAAAGACAGACGCTCCTCTCTTTTTAAAGCCATCAGAGCCATACCCATGACCACCGTTTTTAATCCATTCACTACTGCATGGTCCTACAATGTATTCACCTCTTCAAGGCTCCACCTTTCAATTACCATAAAAGGATTTCCCACCCCCCTAACAGTCACGGTGGGGACTAAGTTTCTAATATATAAAACTTGGGGGACACAATTCAAGCTTCAGTGAGTTTTAAGGGGACATAATCTACTACATGTGCCTAGGTAACATATCCCCAGGACTGAAGACTGACTTTTATCTGCCCCAGATTGAGGGCCACTCCATTTTAATATGGGCGTCATAGGGCTGGTGAATCCTTTGTCACAGAGTAACCCTTTATACCACTCTTGACTGAGACAAGGAAAGGAGTATACTTTGTGTCAGAAAGCATGTGGACTTTGTCTTGTTCCTATATAAGCTCCTAAGCTCATCCTTCTACCTCTGTCAAACCCCATGCATTTGGAATTGGCTGAATGTGGTTTCAGTCACCCTCCATATTAGAATTAAATCTTTACCCGCTCTCATTGGTGGAGATCATAACCTATTGAGATATTCAGCCTACATCCCACTGGCTTATAACTTGTAGGAGTAACAGCAGTGCTGCTTGTTGTTAATGTCCGTCTTTCAGGAAAAGAATGCCGGAGGATGAGGACCACTGGTGTAAGAGGGAGAGTGTTTTTCAGACCAACAGCATGGTGTGTTGTAAAATTAACTAGTGGGTTGTTAATCGTGTAAAAAAAAAATATATAGAAAAAATATCTGAATGCATTGCTCACTATAAAGGTAAATGCTGGTTTGTGGAGCTTTTGTGGCAGTTACTGATGTGTGCTCATATGTGTACTGGTTATATAAAATTTCAGACCAACAGCATGGTGTGTTGTAAAATTAACTAGTGGGTTGTTAATCGTGTAAAAAAAATATATATAGAAAAAATATCTGAATACATTGCTCACTATAAAGGTAAATGCTGGTTTGTGGAGCTTTTGTGGCAGTTACTGATGTGTGCTCATATGTGTACTGGTTATATAAAATTGTTATATATTATAGGTTGTAATCAAAAAAAGCTTACAAGCTAAAGCATTATACTAGTAATGTAAAATGCAGAAAAAGATGCATCTTTCCCTTAGTAAGTATGATCTGTTTCTACTCACAGTACTTCTGACACCAAATACATGGGGCTTTTCCCCCCACACCGACCAGTTCTCCAAATCTCCAAACACTAGAAGGTGTCCTCCAATTCAGTTCAATCTCTGTAGGTTAAGTTTAGTCCCACAAGACTGCCCCTCACTTCAGACACCAGTTCCGAGTCCCAGGTGGACACCTGTACTTCTGACCAACCAGCTGTAAATTGGGGATTCCCATGGCCCCCTCCTCAGGTTTGATAATTTGCTAGAATGGCTCACAGAACTCAGGGAAACAGTTACATTTATTGGTTTATTACAAAGGATATTATAAAGGATACAAATGAATAGCCCGATGAAGAGGTACACAGGGTGAAGTCCAAAGGGCCCAAATACAGGAGCTTCTGTTCCTGTGGAATTGGGACGTGCCGCCCTCCTGGCATGTGGATGCATTCACCAACCCAGGAGTTCACTAAGCCCCATTGTTGAGGTGTTTTTACAGAGGTTTCATTACATAGGAACGATTAATTATTAACTTAATCTCCAGCCCCTCTCCCTTCTCTAGAGATAGGGGATGGAGCTAAAAGTTCCAAGCTCCTAATCAAGGTTTGGTCTTTCTAGCAACTAGCTATCCAAGAGCCCACCAAGGGTTGCCTCATTAGAACAACAGGCATTCTTATTACTTATGAAATTCCAGGGGACTTGGAAGCTCTGTCTCAGCAACCAAAAGCAAACACCAAATATCACAACAAAAGATCACCCTATCACTTAGGAAATTACAACGGTTTTAGGAGCTTTGTGCCAGGAACAAAGGACAAAGACCAAATATAAATTTCTTGTTAATCACAGTATCATAGTAACACAGAAGCAACATTGCTATAATACACTAATTTTTTCAGTAATATAGCATGAATAAAAATAAACTTTTTTTTTTTTAAAGAAAAGTGTTCCATTAGAGCAGATAAGGCTACTAAAACAGAAATCATAAATAGATGTTTAGCCCCATCTGCTGGAACATGTCTTCTATGGCCGTAAGAAAACAAAATACATAGTGAAATATAGTGTTTTTGGTTTTGTTTTGGGTTTTTTGAACATTTTAAAATAGAAAGCCCTAAATTTAGCCCTAAATCCAATAACTATTTTAGTTTGGTTTGGCACATCTGTTTAAGAACATGTTGTTGATCCCATCCTAAACCTGAAATTTACTTTACATATATACATGTAATTAATGCTTAATAAGGACTCACTATAAAAATCCAGAAAAAGACATGTATGAAAATAAAATCCTCTCACAAGGTTACAGCACTTTTAATTAATGGGGGAAAAGTCAAAGACAAGACAGTCCATGGTTCTCTTTCCTTTTACCAAATGGGCTTAAATAAAAAACTTGAAATTTAAAAGCGAAGGAAACAAAACCAAAACAAGGTGTCTACAAATCAAACTTTAAAACTTGTGAATTATTTATTAATAAAAGAAGGCCACAACTTTAACAGAGACTCAAATCCAAGAGGTTTAAGGAGGGTACAGAAAGCAGTGTGGCAAGCCACATGTGCTGTGTCACATTGGCTAGAACACTGAACCAAACTAAACAGGAGATGCTGAGAGAAGGAAAGGTGACGAGCTTCACAAGATCCTTGGAATGGCTGAGTAAAAACAGGTTGTGTTTTAAGATCTATTTATAATCTGGTTATTTGGAACTCCAAATATAGTTTTTCATAAAAATAGTGATTAAATGCCTTGCCTTGGTCACATCCTTGAGTTGAATGGTTCTCTAACCTGCCAGTTTACAGCTCTCATTCTAGAGAAAGAAACTGTCTCTGCCATTTTCAGTATAGTTATGGGAGATCATTCACTGGACCAGCTTAGCTCCTTTCTGTGCCTCGTGCTCTGTCCACTCCAGCCCAAACTAAGCATATCAGTTAACAGGAGCAGTTAACAGGAGCAATTCTGACATCCAACCTAATATACCGTGATTTCACCTGGCAAGCTTCAGTAAATCTGCAGGTCTCACGGAGGACAGCCTGCCTACTGCAGTGCCTCTTTGCAGGATTCCTTTTCTTTCAGCCAGTTTCTCCTCTGCAGTCATGTCGTGTCGGCTCTTCTGAACTCCATGGAACCGTGAAAGAACAGGTAGTGCTCACAGGTCTAAACCTGTAGCTCATACCTGATTCCTGTGCTCCAGTGGGGCTCTCTTATTGTATATGTATTTGTATATCAGTGTGTGCTTCCATATGTCACTGTGGGAATGAGCTTATCAGTTATTTGCAAAAGGAGGGTGCTACATCCATTTATCCCCACATTCTCCAATAATTTCAGCTTTCCTGACTCAACTTTTTCTAATTAAATTAAAATCATTTTGTTTATCAGTGGATATTTTATTGATTTTAGATTTTTCAGTTTGTATGTATCCTCAAGTCCTCTGTTTATTCCTCTGCGGCTTTTTAAACCACATATTAGAACTGTATAACAAATTGAGGAAAAAGCAAAGCAGGGTTAGGCCATTTCTTGAGAAAATGCCATGAGTTAGGTAACAAGTGGGAGGAAGGAAGGAATTCATATACTACTTCTCTAGAATTTCATGCTAGCAGTGTAACAGAATGGGAAAGAATTTGGGAGCTGAGATGAGGAAGTACTAAGAATAAATGTTGATTTAGTGACTCATAAACTTCTTTTGACCGACTGTAATGTAACAAATGTTGAACATTTGTACCAGTCCTAACCCTGAGCAGTTTACATTCGTCAGCTTGTTTGAACCTTACAACAGCACAATACAGTAGGATTATTGTTATTCTGGTAATTTAAAAAATTGTTAATCAGATTCTGTGCCCTAAATCTTAACTCTTATGCCAGTAGCTTTGAAACTTTACCGACCACATCCCATAGTGAGAGATATATTTAACATTTTACATACATAGTGACCCATTATACATACATAGACATATACAAGAGTACTTCAGAAAGCTCGTGGAAGGGCTGGCCTGTGGCTCACTCGGGAGAGTGTGGTGCTGATAACACCAAGGCCATGGGTTCGGATCCCATATAGGGATGGCCGGTTTGCTCACTGGGTGAGCGTGGTGCTGACAACACCAAGTCAAGGGTTAAGATCCCCTTACCGGTCATCTTTTTTTTTTTTTTTAAAAAAAAAAAGCTCATGGAAAAATAGAATTAAAAGATAGTACATGTCCATGAACTTTTTGAAGTGCCTTCATATAAGTGACAGAAAACTTCATAAAATAATATTTACTCTTAACTCTGAGTGATGCACTGTATGATTTTCTATTTTATTCTCTAATTATTTTATAAAGCTGGTTTGGGCCAACCAAATTAATAACAGAACTCACTAATGGGTTGTGACCTGTGGTTTGAGAAAAACACTGCATTATGCCATATTGCTTACTGTATGTATATTGTATAGACACACAATATGAATATCTAGGTGTATACACAAACAAGACTCACAGTACATGAACCAAAGCACTAACCAAACCCCAGGACACATTTCAGGTTTTCAGATCTATTTGTTTAATATTAACCAGAATAAAAATACTGTAATTCCTTTGTGAAAAAGGCATCTCTGCCTATGCGAGGCTAGTGACAAATTATAAAATGACCTCAGATACTAATGTTGCTGTTGCTATGCAGAAGAGTCACAGAAACTCAGGGATGGAGAGACTTTACTATCATTTCATCCAGGCACCTGTATGTTGCCTCCGTCCTCTCTATGTCTTGTTCAACCTGTGCTTGAAACACTACCAGCTGGGGAGTGGCTTCTGTTTGGGAATAATCCATTCCATCTTTTTGGCTAGGGAGAGCAAGTTCTTTTGTAGATTGAGCAGAAATTTGTCTCCCTATAACTTTTCTCCACATTGCATCTCTTGTATGAACCTTTGAGATCTTTGAAGAAAACTCTCAAATGCTAGCTTTGCAGAATGGAGTCCCATCAGGCGACACAGCCACCAGCACAGACGCCTCAGCCTCTTGGTAACCCATGTCATGCTCATCTCCTTGAAACAGGACCTGATGCAGTGCACAGCATTTGCAACAGCAGATGAATATCATCTGGGGAATCTCTCTCAAGACCTGGCCTCCCACGGATACGTTGAAGTAACGAGCTTACCTAGAGGTACTTCTTGAACCTGGGGCCAAGTATTGTGAAAATGTATTAGAAAATAATTTTCCTATGATACTCTCTTAAGTATGCATTTGTTTGTCTTTTATTTTCTATTGGAAGGATAGTATCAAACAGTGGTGTTGAATCTCTTCATACAAATGACATATAAAGATAAGAGATTAAAATGCATTTACAGAGAACTTAGTTCTCAGATTAAAATCGATATGATTTATTAAGCTTTATTCACAGGATCACTGTTACCTGGGATGATCAACGGCCATGCTCCTTCATTTGTCACATTAAAAAGTTATTTTAGTGTTACTGAAGAACCATGAAATTGATAGAAATAGGGAAAGCCTTTAAAAAAAATTTACCATTCCAATCCAGTACTTTAAAATTAACAAAATCAGCTAAAAGACAAAGGATATAAAAAAGAAGAAAGTTAAACTTAACTCAAGATTTTAGGATAATATCAGGAAGGATTCTTGAGAAAATATCCTCTTTCCATAAAAAAAAAAAAATAACTTGGAACATTTAGATGGAAGAAATTTTGCAGTGAAACCCAAGATAGTTCAATAACCATAAAATTTATTAATTTACCTCAGAATAACATAAATAGGTTGTAAACCTCCCTGCTACACAGAAAATTCTTAAAGTCATTGCTACCGTAAGAAACTCGAAATGTCATTGTGCTTTTTTGGCCTCGATGATCTGAACAGACTGTACGATTTGATGACAAAAACGAGCACAGTTGTCTTAGAAAAAACAGCTGTGTCCAGGACCCCTGATGTGAAATCTGCTGAGGCCGTCAGCAGCGTGGTCCCGTGCGTGGTCCCGTCCCACTGCTGTGGGTCTCTCCGTTTCATTTATGTTGCTTTTGGTTACAT